GCATTTTTTTCAATTTGTTATGTTAGTTAGGGTAAATGCCTTCTACAATCTTTGATCATCTTTTGAAATACATTGACATTAATCTAATAGCTTCCAGAACTTGCCCCACCCAAAACCTTACATTTCTTTTACAATGTACCTCACTATACACAAAGTAATAATAAACATGATCAGTGAGCCAAACAATTCTGAACTTCATCTAGCTTCTCTAATTCAATCACAACATATTCTGTGGTATACAACATTCACCAGCATCGATCCATCTGAAAAACTTTCTGAGGGGAGTATCACTGCAGAATTACACAACTATTAAATCATAAATGTTTTGAGAGAGGGTCGAGTGGATGACTAAGCCATTTGTGAAATCAATAATCATAAGAATAAATACAACTTTGTTTGATTTGTACCATTTGTTCATACACATGTGACAATGAAGAGAGACAATCGTGTTTTATGTTCTATTGTGACACAATTTATATAAAAAATAAGGTGTAAGATAAGGTGAGGAATTTCAGACTAACTAAACCTGCCGTTACCGAGGAGGCATGACAGCAATATAAAAGAGATTGAAGTCAAAACCAATCACAAATATGCAAAGATGTATTGTAACTTCTAATATATTTCATGATATTAGGAAAATGAACAGACAGTCGTTTGATTTCAGAACAAGAGGTTACATACATAGAAGTTGTTAAATACATTGATATAAGTTGATAGTACTGAGCTAGTGTATGACAAATGGTTACCTAGAGAATAATTGAGGATAGATGTGTGAGAGAGAAAGAGAGAGAGAGAGAGAGAGAGAGAGAGAGAGGGATAGGAATAGAGGGGGCAGGCAAATATAGTCCACAAAAAAAGCAAAAGGATATATATATATATACAGGTGCAGCTTTACAAACAAAAGATAACTAAATGATAACATTCAAAGTAGGATAATTCCATAAATTATTATTTCAAATCCGATATATTCTACAAGCTAACACACTACAAAATACTTCTATTGGAACTGCAACTTCAACATTCAATAAATGAAAGAAATCTACTCATCAAATCACAAAAAAGCAAAGAAATCATTAGTAACGTAAATGCTATTTCTAAGGAACATTCCATCTTTCAGTTTTTGATACATAAAACGAAAGGAAGAGTCATCTGAATCATACCCACAAAGGATCTATCTCTCACGGATTATGACAATAACATGTTTGGTATGCAGAAGGGGTGACTCTACAAATAATCATACATTTGTTGGCAGTTCTATTCATGTTCTATTTAGTTCTAACTTCTAAGGGCAAAAAGGAAAACGTTGGAACCACCACCTTTAATAGAGTACAGGTTTATGATAATGTAGTGATTTATACCAACAAACTCTGGAAGACATGGTCCCAGCTAAAACCCTGGCTGCACCAACAAATGTTTGTTGATTTGCACATTACTTTTAGTGTTATTGGCCTATAAAGTTAGTTCACATATCAGTTACAAATTCTCACAGCAGTAATTCATGCCTGAGCTGAAATCCTCGAACCCGATTACGAGAGCTCTTGAAATTTGATACCAGTATTTTAAATAAATCAATGATATCACTCTTTTTGTAATTACTATTCCACTCAAAACCAGGAAATACATTTCAAAGGGAAATGAAACACCCCTTGTAGCTAGTATCGATAAATCCTTCGTATTTATAAAAGCAAATATTCTGTCTCATGTGATTCATTTCAATTGCTCTAAAGGTCGAATGGAGAGAAATTAGCAGGTTTGATCTACTAAGCATATTATACTATTAATAATAGTGGCTACTTGTATAGAGCACAGGTCCACCTTTTTATTTTGTTCAATATTAAAAATATTAATGTGCTCTTGTGTAATTTTGAAAGTGTGTAGCCTTTTCTATCACAAAAATGTTTTCATAGTGCATATACTTGACAACATTTGTGAGGATTAATTAATTCAACAAAAAAGAAAATCTAACATGCAAATAAAGTTTTCCACACATTAGGTATCAGACAATATACCTTAGTCTATAGAGCCAGAATATAGAAGGGAAATGGAGAAAAAAAAAGTAATAATGATATTAACAACTTTTTTGTCATTGCCACATAAACTGCACAAGTTCCTGGCATCAGTGTGTATCATGGCGAGAGAGAAGAAACAGAATGAAACTTCCCCCACGGCTTGTATCCCGTTACCAAATTATCATATTTCCTCCCTTCAAGAGGATATTAAAATATTACCGAACAGTATGACCTCTTAAACTTGGCTATGATTTGAAACAATCAAGCTGGCACAGTATAATTCTTAGAAAAATTGACTATTCTATCATTTATTCAAACATGAATTTGTTCAGTTCTGTTTCATATCAACACTATAAATATACTGTACATACAAGTAAAAGAAACTTTGGTATCAATCCAATTTGAGTACTTGACAAGATTTATTTCCAAATAGTGTCGAATCTTAATCTGTGATTTCCATTTTACATACTCCTATTGAGCATACAATTGCAATTTGTCACAAGAAAAAGAGCCAAATTTCACTTCATGACAAACTCACATTGCATTTTTATAAATCTTCAGTAATGCACTCCATACAAATTCTAATGAACAAACTATGTCCCACATCAAACCTAACATTTCCAAAGTCACCTCAATAAAGCCTCGTTCAAATTTGATGCCGTAAACCGATTCGTCTTTGTTTTTATAACAATAATAGCTATTATAGTGCGCGCATATCCATCCCGGGGGATGCTCAAAGCCCAGCTGCCTTAAGGTGCTAAAAGCAGTCAAGGATTAAATTCCTACATGTACCCGCCATTTACTACACCTGGGTGGAGAGTGGCAGAAGTACATCAATGCCTCGTCAGAGGACATTAGTGCCATTAGCGGGACTCAAACTACAAATCATGTGATCCACAGTCTGGCGACGTATCCACTGGAACATGATACACCTTTAATGATATAAGTGCATTAAATACATTTTACAGTTATATTTAACACAGAGCTCAGTGAGGAGGCTTAGGACCTTTGTTGCATGCATTTATTTAATTTTTTTTTTTTAGCAGTTTACCACTTCATATCTGAACGAGCCCTCAAAGTGGCGATCCTTTCCTTTCCCTTTTTTTAAATTCTTTTACACTATCACAACACTGTAATCAACAATCACAAGTCCTAATAAAACTAGATGGAACTTCAACTGCGCGCAGTCGAAATGATGCCTCCGTCATAGAGCAATTTTACAAACAAAAACAGAAGAAATTTTTCAAATTCAAGTTCAATTGTAATCCATTAACAGTTTCTCAGAATATCGTGATTACAAGCAATTTCTCATATACATATATGACCCTTTGATCTTTGACCTCATGACCCTAACATCTACTCAGTTCATTGGCTCTACAAGATGTCCCGAGTTAAATAGTAATCCATTTGTCAGTTCTAATGAGAATGCGTTCACGAGCTATTTTTGCATACATAATGAGCCGCATGACCTTTGACCTTGACCTTATGACCCCAAAATCTAATCAGTTCATCGGCTCTGCAAGTAACATACATGACCTAATTTTGGCAGGAATCCATCAATCGGTTCTTCAGATAACGCGATCACGAGCTGTTTTTGCATACATAATGAGCCCTGTGACCTTTGACCTTTAAACTCGTGAATCCAAAATCTAATCAGTTCATCAGCTCTGCAAGATACATACATGACCAAAGTTTGGCAGGAATCCATCAATCGGTTCTTCAGATAACGCGATCACGAGCTGTTTTTGCATACATAATGAGCCCTGTGACCTTTGACCTTTGAACTCGTGACCCCAAAATCTAATCAGTTCATCGGCTCTGCAAGATACATACATGACCAAAGTTTGGCAGGAATCCATCAATCGGTTCTTCAGATAACGCGATCACGAGAACGGGACGTACGGACGGACGGACGTACGGACGTACGGACGTACGGACGGACGGACGGACAACCCGAAAACATAATGCCTCCGGCTACTTCGTAACGGAGGCATAACAAAACTATCCACATTCCGACACACATTGAGAGATGTAAAGTGCAAATTGTGCATTCACCACAGCAAGTCCACAAGGCTAGAAAAGTTCATTCAGTCCTGAGATTTGGGAAAGTAAGACAAACTTGTAATTTTTCTTGATACCCTCTAATTCTTGTACATTGCCTAATGTCGACACTCCTAGTATAGCTCAACATTCCATATCTTCCTTTTTATTGGCTTTCAGTACACATCTCTAACATGAATCTTGAAGGAAGAACTTTAAACATCAAATCCAGGTATTGGACAATGATATTTGCAAAAGATGCTTCAACTTCCTACCAAAACTCTCTATAAGCCAGTACTTTTTAAATTGTAAATCACCATCTACATTTTGAATTTGACAGCTACTTCTACTTTCAAAGTTTTGGTTTTCTTCTATAAAATTGGAAGGTTTGTAGTTGTAAAGGCCAATAGACATAGTAGAGAAATAAGAAGTAAATACCCATAAAACTTGTTCCATATGGTCACCGGCATTCTGCATCATAAATAAATAAGATCAGAGCTGCCAACTACCAGAGCAGCAAATCAGTAATCACAAGGCTCAAAATCAGTAATTTGGGGAATAAATCAGTAATATCCTATGAAGCGTTATGAATCTTTAAAAAACGGCACGCCAACACTGAGCAGACGTTTGAGCGCATGATTATCTGAAACTTGTGGTGATTTTACTCACACAAAGTTGCTAAATATCGATTTTCAGGTCATCACAACAAATCAGTTTTCCATGAAAAATTGGCTTCTAGTGAGAGAATGAATACTTGATACTTTTTCGTCTTTCTCAGCGAGTGTTGGATGGCCGCCATAAGCCAGTTCTCTTTGTTCTTTCCACATCACACTTCATGTATCTTTTTTGATAATACTATCCTATACAAAAATAAACTGGAATAGATTTTGACAACTAGACGGTTGAACATACATAAAAGGTATTTCAAAATAATGTCACGAAAAACCAGGGTGTCAATTTCAAACCCGTTTGCCACAACTCTCCAAAAGGTACTATCTAACATTTTGGGGCAATAACACAATATCAATCTAAAGTAAAACAGGCAGCAAGATATCCCCGAAGTGTGTATGTTTGTATGTATTTACAAAAAACAAAACAAAAATATTGGTAAAGAATTGTGACATTTACAGAACAATGAAAAGCAAAGAAGTCACAATTTCTCTTTCAACACAGTAGATGATTTTTATTTTGATAGAGCTTTTTTTTAAAGATACATTTTGGTGCACAATCTATTGTAAATTTTCTACTCACTTGAAAATATCAGATATTGTCTGTTTAGAGCAAGAAGGGCATTATCTCATGGATTTTAAACACAGAGTTAATGCCTATTCTGGCTCTGAACAGATGATAGCAAATAGTACATTGAAGTCTGAATCACTATGCACTGAACAGCTGCAAACATGTGTCTCCACACTGAAAGTCTAGCCACAGAAAATATGAGAAAAATGTATTAATCTCTTAACTTTAAAAAAAAGTTACCCCCCCCCTCCAAGAAGCGATCTCTTTCGGCCCTCCACGGCCGGTTTGGCAACCCACTGACGACGGACGAGTACGGACGGTGGATTTAGGAGAACGGGCCCCCGGGGTAGGGTGGGGGGTTCTGGCCCTTCTCGTCCACGGAGTCAGGGGGCTGCTCAACCTGGTGTGTGGTGGTTGTAGTTGTGGTGGTAGTCGTGGTGGCCTGGCCAGGGAAGCGCAAGGTGCTGACTCCGCCCATGGCTTGGAATTCACGAACGTTGAAGAATGTACTGATGCCATAGAGGACAACGAGGGTCCATCCGCACAGCTTGAAAGGCAAGGGATGGGCAACAAGTTTAATCTTTTATAAATAATAATAATAATAATGGTACTAATCCTTCTACTACTACTACTACTACTTACAATAATTATAATAAAATTTAGAATAATAATTTTAACAATAATGTTAATAATAATAATACTATCAATAATAATAATAATAATGAAAATAAATAATGATAAAATATTATTAACAATACTACTACAATTACTACTACTTCTTCTACTATACTGCTACTACTACAACTACTACAGGACTTCTACTACTACTAGTACTTATAATAACAATTATAATAATAATAATAACAATAATAACAACTACAACAACTGTCTGCTCTTCAGCACTTTCAGAATCAATACAAATTCCCTGATACAATAAAATATAAAATCCTTCATAAATTTGTCCAACTGCATAAAATCATAAGACATAAATGAACAAACAAGATTATTATCATACATGGACACTGAATTTAGTTTCTACTCACTATGTAATGCCGTCTTCTGACAATTTTTTGTATGATACATGTAAAGCTCCATAAAAATCAACTCCTATTTGATTGGGAGCACAATGGAAGTACATGTTCATACTTCAATTTAAAACATTCCCCTTAATAAAATGATGAGATCTATTACAAAAGCATTAAATTATTATATTTTCCTTATTCAAACATAGCGATAACATTAATATTATTTATCGACCATCTGAGGATCCTAAATAAAAGAACCTGATACTTACACATCCCCATACAAGCTTGCCATGCTGAGAAGCCCCGGTAAATTGGCCAGCACGTACACTGATGATTATTGCAGCTATGAAATGTAGCAAGCAATCTGCAGCATTGTTGATCAGCTCCTGGTAGATTTGAAGAAAAATAGAGTTTTTGTATCATTTAGTGACATTTAAAAAACAAGGGAAACGCTCTCGCCTGCATTACGCAATTCGATATGATGACAAATTGAGGTTGAGACATTATTTATACATGTAGGCAGGGTGGCCCATTAGCAGCCCCCCCCCCCCCTCAAAAAAAAAATGAAATCCTCTTAATATAATCAGCATTTTGAAGGCTACAAATCATCAGTAGAATTATTTACTATAATTTGTACCAAGATTGATAACTTTAATGGAATATGATCAAATAATAAAAATTGATTTATTAATTCTCATATTAAGTTGTGAAAACATAATCCAAGTCTACTGACCAAAATGACCTTTGACCTAGACTTTGTGACCCAGACTTTGTGACCTGGAATTTGCGTCATATGATTTGTGATACTTGATAACCCTTGTGTACAAGTTTCATGGAATTTGAACAAACGCTTTTGAAATTATGCTAAAAATTCAAAATCTTGATGTTGATACCATAACAAAGTCTAAATTTGCAGACCTTAAATTACATTTGACCTTGACTTTGTCACCTAAAAGCCTTATCACATGATTGGGGATACTTGATAACCCTTTAGTATAAGTTTCATTGAATAAGAACTTATACTTTCAAAATTATATTAAAAATTCAAAAACTTAACCTGAGGTTAAGTTTTTGATGATGATGCCACAACATACATGTAGTCCAAGTCTGTTGACCTGAAATGACTTTGACCTTGACTTTGTGACCTGAAATTCTACTCACATGATTGGGGATACCTGATACCCTTTGGTCTAAGTTTCATTGAATAAGAACTTATGCTTTCAAAATTATACTAAAATTTTAAAAACTTAGACTGAGGTTTAAAGGAATCACACTAAAAAGCAAAAGTGTTTTGAATTGATGCAAAATTCATATCATTGCGGAGGGGAAGCCATACTGATCAAATACAACAACTTCCCTCTTCAAAATATGTTTGGGGCCCGCAGTAATCAACTGAGATCCAGATTTTCTGCCTTCAGCGGTCCTTTGTAGAGCGTCAATATTTGTGACGTCACATACGGGACACGGCTGGCTAGCTGCATACTGCTACACGGCACTGAGCTGTTCGTCCAGTGTGTGACGTCACAATTCAGAGCTCGCTACGATTGTGTGTTTGACTTACGTTCAGGGGCATTCGGGGGTCTAAGGAGGGTCTTGAAAAATTGCATTTTATGCCTTTCCATGATATCTATATGATTTCTCAGCAAATTGTTAGTGTTTTTCAAGAGAAAATCTTTCCATCCATATGTAATTTGTTCTAATTATGAGTTGTTAGTGAATTTTCTTTGTGTAGCTCCTTTAAGTTTTTTATGTTGACGCTGCCGCCGACGCCGCTGCCTCGGCAGTCACCAAAAAAAGCGGCGCCTATGTCTCGTTTTTTGCTACACAGGCGAGACAAAAAGGGTATGCCCCTTTCTTCTTCCAGTTAAGTGCCGCTTCATGGTGATGAAGATAATCGCACTGGTTTTGTGTGTATATGTGGAGACTTTCACATGTCCTGTCATTCCACATTTTAACTTGTTGTTCTTGTTGTGCAGGTGCATATATACATGTGTAAGTAAAAAACATTCCCAGTCTTGTAGACATTACATCTGCATCCCACTCAAGAAGACCTTGAAGGCGTCAAGAGAGTGGTATTGGGCTGGGTCCTGTGGAAGGTTGTTCCAGTCCTTGCAGGTTCTTGGGAAGAAGGAAGAAGCATAGGTCTGACTACTGCAGTTGAATGTCCTAAAACGAGATCCATGTCCTCTTGTTATTGATGTCAGTTCAGTGAGAAAGGACTGCCAGGTAACGTCGACAAGGTTAAAACGGATGCGATACAGCATGGCAAGGCGGCTGTGAAGACGTCTGGTGAGTAGCAATGGCCAATTCAGGTTTTCAAGCATAGCCGTTACACTGGAGGTTTGATTAAAGTCACCGGTGACGTAGCGAGCACACCTTCGTTGGACCATTTCAATCTTGTTGACATTCCGCTGTGTGTGGACCCATTTAAAAAAACTTTTCATCAATAAAAAGTGTCACATTTTCTATAACAAATTTGCTCTCAGCCAATCAAATGCAACTTGTAATTGATAACAATTTTAATGAAACGGTGCCAATGCACGACAAATTGTGCTCACAGCCAGGGTTCCAAAGTGATTGGCTGAAGTATTTGACTACATTCATCTTTAACTCAGGATGAAATACTTACCGGTAGCCAAAGGAATAGTGAATAATTAAACTTCAGTTCATACTTAGTAGTGAAATATACTCATAAACTGATGTATAGAAATCGATACTGTAAATCAAGAAATGTTTTGCAAGAATTCTAATTCCATTATATCACACTGTGAAACTTTCAAAAACTTTTCCCATACATAAAAACAACACAGTTCCTGACTAAGAGATAATACTGGCTTCTTACCGTTAGCACCCAGTTGATAATGGTCACCCGTTTGGTCAGCGCTAAGAGGAAAAGAATATAGAGTATGAGCGTGACGACCCATGCGCTCACAGCGACAAAGATTACCCAGCTATAACCAGCAAATATATAGCCATAGTACGAGAAGCTGGCCACCACTGTCCAGTACAGGAATCCAATAATCTGCAGAAATAAAGGAATCAAAATCTTTAAGTTAATTTTGTCATTCTTATCAATTCAATATCATTTCACTTTTCGGTATGTATATTTCAAAGGCATTTTCATATACCATGTATATGTTGTTTAGGGCACCTTTGAGTATTCCTTTAACCTCTGTCACTCCGCCAAACCAACTCAAAACTGACTCAAAACCGACGGATTCATCATCCTTGGCCACTTAGGCCGGGTAATGGAATGATTTATTCGCTCTGTTGTTGGTCTTGTATGAGGATGGATATGTGTGCATTATTATTTAAAGATGAAGCTATTACTGATAAAAACAAATGCATAGAGTTTTAACATCCAACTGTTTGAAATATGACTTTGAGGTCAGGGAGAATGGGGGGAGGGAGGGGGAGGGGAGCAGCGACTACTTGCTGTATCATTCTTTATAACAAATTTTTATAACAATAATTTGAGTTCAAATTGAATTAGCAGCAGGGTTGCCATACCATTTGTTTTGTCAGAAATATGTAAAAAATAAAATGATCAAAAACATTGAACTGAGAAATTTAGACATACAGAGACAGACCGTTAGCTTAAAGTTTAGGCCTTGGCGTTAAATTTGAAGTTATCTCGTAATTTAATAGGGAATGTGCAGATGCACTCATGGTTACAAAACTTTAAGTTACGAATCTTAAAGTTAGTGCAGTAACTATGAGCAGAGATGGGTCCTCACTCGAAGTTATAAGCCTGCAATTGCAATTAACTCTAAGATTATGCCAGCTTGTAGTTACTTGAATGTTTTCCAGAGCTTATAATAGTTAATTTCAAATACTTGCTGTATCTGCCAGGTGAACCCTTGTAGTTGTTAGTGGATCACTATTTTAAACGTCCATGTTTTTGCAAACTTTAAGTTTAAAGAGAAGATTGAGTTCTGGGAAGAGTTGAAAAATAATTTTTGAGCGTTATCATTGTTATTTTGAAAGTTTGGAAGAACATCAGATAAAAAATGTTCCCTGAAAAGCATGGCTCTTCAAATGCCTTAATATTCTAAATATGGCATGTAACAGCATAAAAATTGGGACGAAAAGTTTGTGCCACATGTTTGTGTAGACCCATATTTCTGTGTACAGTGCTTGTAACTTTACCAAGACTGGGCCCAATTTCTTATCATTTTGATGATTCCAGAACCTTGCAAGTACACACTACCGTATATGCTAGATGATCAACATTTTCTGATCGATTCCACACCGTTTCTTTCACAATGCAATCGCATGACCAGGGGGGGGGGGGGGGGGGGGGGGTGTTTCACAAAACTTCTCATCAGTGACAAATGACAGTTTTTGTAATAAGCTACTGAAAATCCTTGCTTCTGATCGGTTATCAGCAGAATTGTCACTAATTTTTGTCATTTGTCATTGAAAAAAGGCCTTGTGAAACAGGCCCCATATCTCAACTTTAGCTTTAAAGCTACTATTACGACTACGATTGAATAGAGCTATTGCAACGGAGAATCCAAAACTAACACACTGACAATGGTGAGGAACAATAGGAAATGTCGGCTCCTTTCTTTTCCTCTGAACAGGAAGGCCGTGTAATGACATTTGTCTAGTATCTGTTGTATTTTGTACACAGACCATAGTCAAAGAGGTGATCTCATATGTGCATGTACATTGCTGCACTTTTAGCTGCCTGAGAAGACAGTCCTGAATATGATACCATTAGACGAAAATTATATTTTTATAATGATCTTAATAATAAAATGTTGAATCTATATATATAGCATTTCTTCTGAACGATACAAGTGCTGAATACATACACTCTCCTTACCAGGCTTTAGCCAAGCTTGGGAAATAGAGGTTTCATAAAAGGCATTTAAAATAAATAAAGAATGTACCATTCATGTGTTTCCATCAATATTGATCATTCAAGATACATGTAATTACAAATATACATTGTCTTTTAATAGTACAATTGGAGTCACAGAGGCCCATAGTTTTAACCAATACCTCGAAAAGAAGGCAGGGTATATTTGTTTTATATATCCTACATCCAAACTTTATTTGAAATCCTGTGCGCTCACTGAATTTTCAACTCCCAAATAGTACTCTCAAATACATGTAGTACTTTTTCAGAGCAACCTTAAAATGTTTGAAATATTTCTGGTCACGTGACGAGCTCTCAACCAATCAAATAACAATAATTTTTTTATGCAAGATATACCGTAATAATGAATATATAGTTGACATCCTGGAAATAAAATCAGAAATTTCAGATTTTATATCAGATTGTACCTGTACAGTATCTATGTTGGGAAATGCAAATGACAAAATCTGGATAATTCATTATTCATCTACATTTCTACTTTGTCAACTAAATAAAGCAAATATATTACTAGTTAGGGTCTACTTTACACAATGTACACAATATATGTATTGTAGGCTATGCGCCTAGTTGCTTTGCAGGCGCTTCTTATCATTTTCATCTGTGACATGCACAAACTTTTCAGGAAAACATTTCTTTGAGATGTAGTTATTACGTCTCGTTTCCTTTCTCGTGAGCTATTTGCGTATTGCCTTTGAAACACTATAAGGATTGTTATTCTTAATTTTTGTCCAAACCACTTGATAAACACGTACATTTAATGATGCACGTTGAAAAGTCCTGAACTAATAAAAACTGTTTGATGTAAAGCATGAATATTTTCCTAATTATTGCTTATTGCATATTATGCCAACAAATGGATTATTATTGGGTATATATTAAAGAAATTTGAATCATGGAGAGGTCTGGGGAGTGTTTCACAAAGACTGAGACTGAATTTAAGTTGGACTTAACTATGGCAGGCCGTTCATGCCATTGTTTGCTCTCACTATTTACTGACATTGGTCTCTCAAGGGGCGTACAAATCATGGTCACAAATCTACAGAATTGACATTTTTTATAATTCACTATTGAAGGAACAAATATTATCTAAAGATCATAATGGTGAGATCGACTAGTGGCATGAATGGCCTGTCATTATCTATTCATCTGTCTGTCTTGTTTAGTTTTTGTCTGTGTTTCAGTTCGGTTGCTCGTAGTATTTTCCTGTTTCTCTTGTTTATAGCCATTATTTAGTAGTCAATAGTCAATAGTTATGTTTATATTTTCTCAGTTGTTTATTTAGTTTAGCCTGTAAGCATTTAAATATATATATAAATATATGCACTATTCTTATCCGACGTGTTTGTTCTTTTATTTATTTTTGTTTTTATTTATTGAAATATATTTATTCAGGATAACAAGAATCAGATATACATTGTAGATACAAAATCTGTTTTACATCATAGTCCTGAACAGGATAAAAATGTAGTACACGGAAATATAAATAATAAATATCAATAATGACATACTCATAAGCTACTCATGAGGGACCTTAAATCCACAAGCCTTGCTTTCAACCAAAGTCACCTCATTTTTCTATTGTAACGCCATATTCTGTTAAATTGTTATATTCATGTCATATTTGTAATGTGTGTTATGAAAGAAAGATAAATAAAACTTGAACTTGGACTGAAGTCCAACTTAAAGTCAATCTTAGTCTTTGTAAAACATGCCCCAGGTCTATGATATCCACAGAATCAATGTTTCTTTTCTTATAATTCTTATAAATCATATGCATGTGAACCCTTTCTCATATCCACTTAAATCTGATAAATGAAATATGAATGATAGGACAGTTGACTTCTAAATAAGGCTAAAACGGATATCCTGCGAGTTACAGCAAAACTGAAAGTTCATGAAATGATTAATGAAATGACTGCAACCATCAAAAAAATTCCCATGCATTGCTTTTATGATTTGATGCATGACATATATATGTAAAATGAAATTGGCAGGATATAGTGTAGTGATTCAAGGAAAAATAAAATTTAACCACAAATTAAAGGTAATACAAAGTTTCGGTATGGGGTCATGAATTTGGTTCAAATGAACATATTGGAAGCATATATGATCCTACAATTTTCAGTGATCATTGTCGCGGTCGAAATCGACTCTTAAGTTATGAAATTGTAAATGATTAACACTTTATGTTGAATAGCTCCCTCTCAAGGCCAAGATATTAATTAAGCTATAAAACGATGTTTATTGACTAAAATCGACCGATTAGCTATTCCCGTTCGGAAATTATATACCACAACTACATACTCTGACGTTTTCATGGTCGCAGCTAACATTATACGGCTGAGGAGCTATTTGAAATTTATCAAAATTTACCGGGAGCACCGGTAAATCTTTATATTCAATTTTTCTCGAAAGCAGAAGTGCTTTAGGAGCTAAACTTTTGGGTGTTTTTAATACATCCACAGGGGCATCCAAATGTATCAAAATTATAAAGAATCACTATCCACCCATTTTTCAAATTTCCCACAACTTTGTAATACCTTTAATAGTGAAAATATAATATGTTTTCACAGACACAGTATACATGTACATGTACATGCATCTGACCATGCTTACATTTTTTATAATGCATGGCAGGAAAGAAAAACACAAGAGGATGGAGCATCACAGGAACAATTAATTTGTCTACATTCATGAATCCGGTTCTATAAAGTCTCAACCCCCCCCCCCCCCCCCCCCCCCCCAGGAAGCCAACTTTCAATAGCATTAATGTTCACGGAACATATTCCATTAGTATTCAGTATATACTGAATAATGTCATGGGATTGGATAAACAAAAACCTTTACCCAATGCAACCCAGGCCCAAAAGCCCGACCTTAACCCCCCTCCCCTATCGGCTTTAATGTGGAAATATTACAATTGAATATGATATATCTGCCTTTTTGTTGCTAACATAACTTCAAAGTTGCTCTAAAAAAAAAGTTGCTCTAAAAGCCAATCTCTTTCTAAACAGTTCTATTTAATAACGACAAATTTAATAGTGGAGTAATAATTTGTGTTGGTTTAGTTTACCTTTATCTTAAGTTAAGAACGTGATATGTTCGTGATTGTAATATGTACAGCACCATGAGCG